CTCTAACTTGAGGGGCTGCTCGCAGCCTCGGGGTACACCCCACTCCCAACTTTTCTCCCTGCAGGACCCACCCTCTCATGCTGCTCCGGAGCTGCTGGGCTCTGCTGTTCCTCTGTGCTGCTGTCGGGGTTTTTGGGGGGCTGGCGGAGGAGCTGGGGAACCCCACGGAGGTGGGGACCCCCACACACATCCCCTCAGAGATGTCCACAGGTGATGAGCGGTTCCAGGCTGAAGCCACACGCTGCGAGCTGGCACCCCCAGACTCCTGTCACCATCAGGTGTGGAAGTGGGGCTCCCCTTCAACCCCCCTGGCTGGGAAATGGGGGTCCCTGGGAGCCCCCGCCCTGGGCAGTCACTTTGCCAGGTGTGGGGTGTCCCATATCCATCTAGGATGTTTTTCTGGGGGGAAGGGGTGAAGGTCAAGTGCTGGGTTTGGGTCCCACCTTTCTCCTTAATTTCCCACCCAAACCCCACCCCTGTGTACACCCACCCCAGCTGTGATGGAGCACCCATGGGTGCTGAGCCCCGCTGACACCATGGGATGGAGATTAAACACTGAGGGCTCAATTTGGAGTGCTGAGAGGTTGCCCATGGGGAGAGCCAGCATCCACCTGGTACGTGGTGGTGGGCATTGCCATGGGGTGATGGTTTGCTGGGGGCTGTGGGGCCACCCCCCATCACCATCACCCCAATATTCACCGCAGGAGGAGCTGCAGGAGCGACCGTCTGGGTGGCTACGGCCAAGACTGGAGACCCTCATTCCCGATGGGCCGCTCCGGGTGGCCCAGCTCATGGAGGATATGGCCCAGCTCATGGAGGACGTGGTCCAGCAGATGAGTAAGAGCCACCAGCTGGGATGCTGATGCATCCCCATGTCCCGTCTTTGGGACAACTGACCCTCTTGTGCCTCTCTACAGGGAGTGTGAGCAGCTGGGAGGCTGCAGGGCTCAAGGAAGAACACCGGGTTGTTCTGTCTGACCTCCACCACATGCAGGAAAGAGCTCGGGACATCTATTCCCAACTAGGTGGGAACTCTGCAAACCCCATTCCTGGCTCTTTTTGCATGAGGACACCCCTGGGTGCAGCTTCTCCAGCTCATCCCAACACTGTATCCATCTCCACGTGCAGAAAGCGACCTGGCCCTTCTGACCCAGCAGCACCAGCTGAAGGAGGGGATGGAGAAGCTGCAATGGGCCAACCAGAGTCTGGGGCTGATGCTGGTGGCCATGGAGAACCATCTGCAGAACCTCCACGCCATCCTTGAACCAACTGGTGAGGTGGACGTGGGTGCTGGAGGGCGGACAGGTGCTGGTGGGTGCCAACGCCAGGCTCTTGTTGCCCTTTCCATAGGTTGGAGCCCGAGTTTGAACTTTACCTTCATCCTCCATGGCTCCTGTTTTGTGCTACTGGTCACGCTACTGGTGTCCACATCACCCTGTGCCATCATGTTCCTCCTCCTCTTCCTCATCTCCAGCGCCCTCGGCATCACGACACTCTCTACTCTCCTGGTCCTTGCTGTGGCAGGTGGGGATGGGTGTGGGGGGGAGCTGCTTGGAGACACACTGGAGGTCTTGGGGGGGCTCTTGCCCTCTCCCGCCCTGTCGTCTTCCTGCAGGATGGTGGCTGGTGGTGGTTGCCCGCCGTGGTGCTGGGGGACCTGGGCTGGTCCTTCCCCAGGAGGAGCCCTGTCACCAGCTCACCTCCACCCCAGACAGGTAGGAGATGGTTGGGGGGCAGACAGCAGCTCTCAAGGGTGCCACATCCAGGACGCAGCTTGGGCACCCATCCTGGGTGTCCCATCCTGCTGCCATCTGGAAGAGGTCCCCAGGAGGGGCCAGGACACATCTTGATGGCTTTTGGGCACCTCGTCCTAGCTTCCTGCCCTATTTCTGCCCAGAGGAGGTTGTGGGGAGGCTGGAGAGGGGGCTGCCATCACCATGGGGGGGAGGGAGGAAGGAGCCACCAAGGTGATGGAACTCCATGTTTCCTTCTTTCCCACATAGGGAACATGAAATGGAGCTGTTGCAGGAGGAGCTGGACAGGATGGAGATGAGCTCCCTGCAAGGTGAGATCTGGGTGGGGAAAGGGACACAGCAGAAATGACCATGAGGTGGGAGGTGTGGTTGCCATAGGACAGGGGTCTGAACACACCCAGCATGTCCCCATCCTGTGCTGGGCCATGTCTGTTACCCTAGAGGGTCCTCAGGCTATGCAAGGTGCCCCACCCTAGGGTGTCCCCATCCAACACTTGGGGACAGCAGTGCCAGGAGTGTGTGTGTCACCACCCATGCCATATTCTTGCAGACCCCTTGTGCCTGGAACAGCCCCCAGTGATGGCAGGGGACACCTCCTTAGGGGGAGTGTCACCCATCCCCAGTGGCTGGAGGACGAAGCTGAGCTCATGTGGGGTAAGTGTGACCTGGGGGGTAAGTGCTGGGTGGGATGTCCTCTGGTTGGGCCAGACACTGCTCCTGGGGCCCAGCTGAGTCCCCCTGAGGGTCAGGTCTTCTGGGGCTGGGGTGTCCTTGTCATGGGTGCTGGACATCCTGTTGGGAGAGGGGCCAAGGCTTTGTACTGCAGCACCTGAGGGGACATGATGCCCAGGGAGGACTTTTGGGTGGATGGAGGTGTCCTCCAAGGATGGATGGCCAAGGCATCCATCCTGTATGACTCATATGTCTTTGGGGACAAGAGCGATCTCCTGCAGGACAGGGACGTCAGTGGGGACAGAGGGGACCATGCCACACCTCTTCTTCCCCAACCAGGTGATGTTGGAGCCAGTCCTGGGCACTGGGAAGCTTTGGGAACCCAAACCCTACAACCTGAGCACGTCTCTGGCCAGTGACATGTGAGTGCTACCCTCAGGGGACATCCGCAGGGACACATCAGGGCCACTGTCACCTTGGGGTGCAGCCAGTGACCTGATAGTGGGGGGACAGCCCCACTGGGGGCTTCTTTGGGTGGTGATGATGGGTCTCTCCTCTGCAGGTCCTCACTGTCCCCACGGTCCCCATGCCAGAGGCTCACCAGAGCTGGGCAGCGGTGCAGGAAGAAAGCCATCCCCGGGCAGGACTTCTGCCATCTCCACACCACTTGTGGCTTCACCATGGACTTATCCTCCCGTTTTTGATCCCCTACCCCTTCCCCAAGGGGTTTTAAACCCTTTTTTTTAGCTCTTATGGATCCTGGTGGAGGATCAGGACCCTAAGGGTACCATTCAACATGGGTACGGGACCGTGCTGTGAGGCAGATGCTCCTTGTCCCACCAGTTTTATCCTATTTGTGTATTTTTTTAATAAATTTCATATTTACAGCTGGAGCCTTCCCTGTTCTGCTCTCCGCCATCTCAATGCTGGGACAGGGGTGGCTTTGGTTGCCATTCCTGCACCAGAGGAATAACCCTGATCACCTTCCCTTTATTACAGCCTAATTTGAGTTAATTAGCAGTGTAGCCCATTACAGCTCAGCAGGAGCCACCAACTTCTTGCATGTGGCCAAGGCAGCTCCAGTTGGTGGCTACCACCTTGTCTGGGGTCCCAACACCTTTGGAGTGCCCCAACTTTGCCC